TTAATCCAAGGTAGGTTGGTATTGAAAATGGGCGAAATCGGACTTTAACCACGCCCACTTCCCATATAACGGTAATTTCCAGAAATACGAAAACTGCGATATTTTAGTAACTACTAAAGATAATTCACTCAAAATTGATATTTACAATTCTTGCAGACATGCCTACGTTTACCGACTGCCTACTGCTGCCACTCTCTTGCAGACATGCCTCGTCGTCAAGGGTTGCCAGATAACTTTACACAATAATTTTCAGACGAAAAATATGAATATTATAAATTTTTGGAAAATGGGCGTAGCCACGCCCACTTATGGTTACATGTGTATATCTTGGTAACCGCTACACCAATTTCTTCCAAACTTGGCACAGTTGTTGGTCCTGGTACAGCATACCAACTGGCCGAAAATTTCTAAAATCGGACAATAACCACGCCCACATCCCATATAACGGTAATTTAGAGAAATACAAAATCTTCGATAAATCAGTAAATATTGAAGCTAATTTATTCAAAATTGATGCTTGCAACAATTCTTTACCAAGAAATACGTTTATGGTAAAATTTTGGAAAATGGGCGTGGCACCGCCCACTTATGATCACATATATTTATATCGGTAACCGTTCTACGAAATTGTACTAAACTCGTTATTTTTATTGTGCTTGCCACATAAAAGCAAAACGTTGTAAATTATTCAAATCGGACTAAAATTACGGCCGCTTTTCATATAACGGTAAATTTCAGAAATGCTGAAAACTGCTATATTTTGAAATTTAACGACGCTAATTTACTCAAAATTGATACACCTCGGCTTACCATCTAGCGGTAGCTTTCGGAAAGGTGAAAAAACATATATTTAATACTTGCGCCGGGTATTTAATGTTCGGCTCCGCCCGAACTTAGACTTTCTTACTTGTTTTTGATTCAAGTTGTTGAAAAGTAATGAATATCTAAATCCCGGACTAATCCCGGTATCCTGGGAATGTGATATGACATACCGAAAATCCCGGGATCGAAAAAGCTGAAAAGTTAACATCCCTATTGCCTGTATACTGACAAATAGGCAAGGTTTGAGACCACATTTCTCTGGCTGCAAATTAACGCTGGAAATACCTTTCGTCCTGTGAAACCTCCAGAAGGCGCTGAAAAATATTTCGAAATCAATAGCTGAAAAGTATTTCGAGGATTGAAAGAAGGGTTGAAATTATAATATGTACCAACAAATAGGGAAAGCGTTTCGGTTTGTTGCCTCAACTTTGCGTTACGATACATTTGGGTTTTCAGCTTTTATGAAACTCGAATCAAGTACCTTTTACATAAAGTTAAGCTACCATGACATCTATATTCTATATTAATTTACTACACGCTAACAAAAAAAGTATCAAAAAATTTGAATAAATTCAAGGTGATTTCTGGGTATGCAGTGTGAAATTATTCAGGAATTTCTTTTAGGGATATTGGCATTCATGCAACCACATTGATTCACATTCATTCACACGTATGTATGTATGTATGTTTACATGTTTGTTTATTTATTTTTGTTTGCATTGTTCTATAATTGTTACTAATTTAAGCATTGCGTGTATGAATGTGTTCACACATGTGTATAGTATGTAGTAATTAGCTGCCGCTTCTCATTATTGCTTAATTTTTTAAATGCCGTCACCGTAATTGTTGTTGTTGTTTATATTGTAGTGCCTATTCAAATAATTGCAATGCATACGCAAATTATTTACAAATCGTGTGAAAAGCTTAATTTTTGCAGTGCGTTTTTTTTCTCAGTTATTATTAACTTTATTACTACGTATTATTGCTTTTGTCATGCATAACTCTTTTAATTATCACAGTCTTGGTTAATAATTTAGCCAACAGAGCTGAACCGTTAAATAAACTGCAATAATTTTAAATTGCTGCTCATGCACGCTATACTATACATACATACATACATATGACCATGTAAATAAATACATACATTCATACATATGTATATGTAACTATGTATGGATATATAGTATGTATATAAGTTGTTGTGTTTGTTTAATATAAGGTATATCCATGTCACAAAAATAATGATAATGAAAATGATTTTTAACTTATAGTGTGAAAGTGATTATTAGCAAAAACGAGCGATACGCATGGCGTATACGTAATTAATATTTACTCCGATATTTTAATATCACTCCCTAAAACGTTTGGTAATAAAGAGCGTCTAGAATATAATAACTTTTATAAAAGTGGGATCTGTCGACGAACCAGTGTAGTACCAATTACAAAACTAATGTCTACTTTGACCGCTAATCAGAGATCTAGAATCGGTCATGGTACGATCGAATCTTATCGGCACGGATTACTTTCAAATTAGCTGGTTCTTTGGTCACAGAGATATTGTGGAGATTCTCTCTCTAACCAGGGAGGGTAAAGGATTGCCTGTGGCAGCCTATGCACCGCTCATGGACATATGCACTTATGGTCGGTATAACGGGCGCTGGACGAAAACCGCGTGCAAAGTAGCTGGTAATCAACTGCGGAGGGCAAAGATGGAGCTGCTGTAGCTAGCTAAGCGCCGTCTTACGGTTCTGACAGGTGTCCTGACTAGGCACTACCCTTTAGGTATTCACGCGTTACTGCTTTATATCATTCCGAACATCTATTTTGAAAGATATCAACGTGAAATGATCTCAGCGTTGTCATCTTAGCTGTTCTAGTTACTTCCGAAAAATTCAGATTCAAACATGTCCGATAGTATTTCATCAACACTTCCAAAAAAGTTGCGAATGACATCGATTTGAGGGAAGTACTTCAGAGATTAGAATTTGAATTAAACTTTAATTAAATACTTGAGAAATCCCTGGAAGGGC